CCATTCTTCTTTTTAAGTTAATTTTTAAAATTATTTGTGTATTACAGTGTTTGCATATTTGCATGTGAAGGTCAAAGGTTGACATCAGATATCTTCTTCATTCTCTGACCACCTTAGTTTTTGAGACAAGGTATTTTATTAACCCTGAAGCTCATCAATTCAGCTAGACTGGCTGGCCATCAAGAGACCCAGGATCCTCCTGTTTCTGACTCCCCAGTGTTGGAATTTGTTTTTCAGGACAGTAGGGAGTAGTAGAGAAGAGAGTGCTGGGATTGAACTCAAGACCTGTGCTTGTTTGAAAGCACTGTGTCCTAAACTCTATTTTCCCCCAGGAACTTAAACTTTCACACACTTTGTTACATCTGTATTCACCTGCCAAGCAAATCTCCAGGGCCTGAGGGTGTTATGGGGGCAGATGTACCAGGAGATAGTGTCACCCCCCTGGGGGAGGGGCTGCAGTTCATGAAGTACCCTCAGATCTAACTAATGATCGATGATTCTCCAGAACTGTGGCTACCATGACTTCTAGAGTACCCCCCTGGGGGAGGGGCTGCAGTTCATGAAGTACCCTCAGATCTAACTAATGATCGATGATTCTCCAGAACTGTGGCTACCATGACTTCTAGAAAAATAAAATTGACTTGTAAGTGCATGTAGGAGTGGGGGATGGAGGTAGGGGTGGGGTAGAAATGGAGCTACAGAGACATGTTGCAGACACAGAGCTGCAGATGGTCCAGGTATTGCTAACACACCCACCTTCTGTGCTCGAACTCTCCTCATTGTCGAAAGCTTGTGTGCTGGTCCTTGAGCTTGGTTTGGAGCCTTGAGCTCTGACCTGCCAGATATCTGTGTTCCTGAGTACTGTCTCTACTTGGCTTTTTCTGGGGACCTCTCCCCTCTACCTGCAGATAAGCTGTATGAGGTAGTAGTGGTGCCATACCAGCCCCAAGTATGGCCTGACTTGGACTAAGTCATCAGGATGCCACCTGTCTGGTCATCATGACTGGCTCATAGCTATGCAGTAATGTTGTCTTGAGGTCACCATAACAAAGGACCACAGATGGGGCTCAAAGCAAACAGAAATGTTCTTTTTCCTCAGTTTTGGGTGTCAGTGTGTGATCCCCCTGAACTTCAAGTTGAACTCTTTCCACTCTGACTCTGGCGGTCACTTCGAAACCTGAAGGCTGCAGTTCCTCCCATCTCTGATTCTTCATGGAGTCATTTCTTACCAGTGTGTCTCATGTCAGCACAGCATTCTCTCATAAGGTCACATTCATATTGGATGGCATCCCATTCTAATGACTTCTACTTGATGACAAATGCAAAAACCCAATTTCCAAATAAGGTCACGCTCCCAGGTTTGGATTAGGAGTTGAACATGGATAGCTTTTAGGACAGAGTTCAACCTGTAACAGCAGGTGCCTCAGCAAAAACCACTGAGAGAGCATGAGATTTTTCTAGAACTTCTGGGTAAAGGTGATGAGTATCCAGCATCCTGGTCAGCCTGGTCCTGGGGATCCCTCAGTTTCTAGCTTACCAGACTGAAGGCTGGCCTATGGCCCCTGGGTACTCATGCCTCCCTTCCCCTTAGGACTGAATATTCCAAGCTGCCCTTTTCTTTTTCTTTTTCACCTTATACCCTTGCTTGTTTCTATGACCAGTAAAGCTTATGTCCTGCCTACCCTTCATGGGACCACAGCACTTAAGACTTACCATGTGGCCAGCCATTTGTCCTCAGTTTGAAGAGCTAAGAAGCCTCTGCTGCCCAGGCTGGATATAAACCCCTGGGAGTCAGTTCCCCCAAGCAGCCCAGACTTTTCTATCATGAAACATATGCACTGATAAATATAGAAACTTTGCTCTTTGTCTTAGTTACTTTTTTAATTGTTGTGAAGACACATCACAGCCAAGGCATCTCTTACAAAAGAAAGCATTTAATTGGGGGTTTGCTTACAGCTTTAGAGACTTAGTCCATTATCATCATGTCGGGAGCATGGTGGCACTGATTGTGTTAGAATGGTAGCTGAGAGTTACATCTTGATCCACACAGGCCAAGAGAAAGAGCTAACTGGGTCTGAGCATGGGCTTTTGAAACCTCAAAGCCCACTCACAGTGACACACTTCCGCCAACAAGGCCATGCCTCCTAATCCTTCTAACCCTTTCACACAGTTCCATAACCTGGTGACTGAGCATTCAAATATATGAGCCTATTGGGACCATTCTCATTCGAACTACTGCACTCTTTTATTGGACTTTCTTTCCTAGAAAGCTCTGTATCTTGCAAAGCCATGCCACTCATGTCCATGTACACCCTTGTCAAGAGGGACCTCTGAGTCAGCTCTGCTAGGGCTCTCCCCATGCTACTTCTCCAGGAGCTCAGACACCTGATAGCAAAGCCTTGCACAGGATAGCCCCAGTGCCATCCATCCCTGGGCCAATCCTAGGCTCAACTCCCCGGCTGCCTCAGCCTTCTTGCCTAGCAGAGACTCCGCCCACCCTCCACCAAGCCCATCATCATCCTTCACTGAATCCATGAACCCATTAGCGTATGGAAGCTAGCTTATCCATATCAATTTTGTCCCCCATTAGAAGTGCCATGAGTGTCCACTTGTGGGAATTGGTCTGACCAGGACCAGTTTGGGCTGCGTTGCAGACCTGCTGCAGTCTGTGTTCCTCTCTGTAGTCCGGATCTATCTGAACTTTACCCCAGCTTCAGCACACAGAGAGGCCCTTTGCGTGTCCCTGTGCTTGTGTCTGCTTGCCTTAGTGACAGGGCTGTGGTCCCCTGAGGGCTGGAGCTAGCAGGGCAGGGGACACTATTTAGGGGGGGCCCTGGGTGGGGTACTGTGATCTCAGTGTGAATGTACAAGGGGAGAGGGGCCTGTGTGAGGTTCCAGAGGCAGTTCCGAGGAGAGGCTCCAAGTCACACAGCTGTGGGCTTTTGTGAGCCAGCTATCCTTGCTTAGATGTTCAGGAGTGTGGGCAACTTGGTCAGTACTACTCCTCCCTTGTCATCCATTTACCTGCTATTATAATTTAGGAACGTCACGTACAAAGAAGGTCATGTGGCTGCTAAGCTGCCAGGATCTATGGAGTGTGGCCTTTGATTCAGAGTAGGGGTGACAAGGCTGGAGGACCTGCTGAGGAGGTTGCCCACCATTGTTCAGCAGGTCCAAGCTCAGCATAGGACCCTGACCTGGGGGCAAGTGACAAAGGTGGCGGATATATCAAAGGATATATCAAATAGGCGTCAGCACCTCCCCAAGTAGATACTTGGGGCTCTACTATCCCAGCCATGAGTAGGCATCAGCACCTCCCCAAGTAGATACTTGGGGCTCTACTATCCCAGCCATGAGCAGCTACAGGGGGGCTTGTACAGAGATCAACCTGGTTCTTCTGCTTTGAGCAGCAGAACAAGCCAGAGACCAGGTATCAGAGGCAGGGGTCACCCTAGCTCCTCTTAGCTATGGAGGCCCAAGGATGAGTTCGGAGAAGGGGAGAGGGGCATTCCAGACTATGCATCCTATCTGGAGTAAGGTCCAGAGACTGGATGGGGCAGCTGTTCCTAATAGCTCCATGGTCCCTTAAAGAAGCAGGGTAGGCAGGAAGGAGTGAAGTCTGCATGCCAGGTGTGGACAGACTCGTGCCGGAACACACCCTTCCAGCCCACTGAAGCTTCCCCCAGGAATGCACACACTTAGTGCCTGGCCTGGGGTGGGGGCTGAGAAAAGAGAGCAGGCAGGACAGGGTGGGCCGTCCTAGGGTGTGAGACAGACAAGCCCTCCTGGGAGAGGCATCCACCCACAGTGCGTCTATGGCCTGCCCTGGCCTGCCAGCCTGCCCACCTCACCCAATTTTCCATGGAAAGTTCCCAAGGTAACAGCAACACAAACTTAGGACAAAGATGAACCCAGGCAGGGGCAGGCCTCAGGGTGGGGTGGGGGTGGTCACAGGCCTGGAGTGGGTGGATGGGGCAGGGCTAGCTTTAGGCCTCAGAAACTCCCAGGTCACCTCTGTTGGCAGAGAGGGAGGGCCTGGGACCAACATGACCATGGGCAGGTGAGGGCTTTTGGTTGTGTGTTGAGCACAAATTCCACCCCTTGGTAGAAGAATCAATGATGGTTGGGTAGAGGGTGAACAAATGGGCTCACTCTAGAGTCCATAGTCCATGAAATATATCAGGTGCCTGTGGAGACCCCTGAGTGTCCACATCCTCCTGCTCTTCTATCTAGTGGGGATTCCAGGTTAGAGGAAGGACTAGCTCATTTCAGGCTCAGGTGGGGAATGTGTGGCAAGTGTGAGGTTCCTGGAAACAGAGCCGACCAGTCTAGGGTGCCTGGAAGTCTTGGGTGGGGGTTGTCTGAGTCCCGTGGAGTAGCCATGTGACTGGGAGAGGGTGTAGTATAGAACTCTCTGGGGACCACATGGCTGTGGGACATTCCTGTGACTCCTCAGTCCCCTCCTAAAGTGTGTGTTGACGCTCCCATTTCCTATAGTTCCTAGCTAGCCATCCCCAGGGCAGGCCTGGTACTCTTTACAGTAGCCCCTTTCTTGGGCCTCCTAACCCAAGGGAATGTCAGCCCTATGGCCATGTGAGTGGCCTATTTGGGGCTTGGGTGAGAAGTGAGCTCCCTGAGCCCCCTTACCCCCTCCTCCATACAGGAACTAAGGGGGGAGGGGCCAGAAACTCCAGCTAGAAGCCCCTTCCTCTTCACAGCCCTTCCCCCTCCCACATGACTGAGGATGGGCACTGGGTTTCCCAGGAAACAGTAGGAAGAAAAGTGCTGCGGCCAGCCTGGCTGGAGCTGGTGGAGCAGCTGCTTGAGGGAAGGTGCACAGAGCTAGACAGAGGTGAGAGCTGTTCCCTCCAGTCCCCTAGGCCAGGAGAGTCTATCCAGTCCCAGGGGTGTCCCCAGCATCAGCCTGTGCAAGGCTGGGGGTAGGTAGGCCTGTGGATCCCCTAGTCCTGACTTGGGTCCTCCTGCCCTTGTAGGGCTGCCCTTGCTGTCCTGGACATCCTGCAACCTGCTCAGCATCTACCATGGGGAACCCTGCTTCAAGGCTTGGCTGCCTGGGGCAGAGGAGGAGCCGCTCACACACCAGCCCTAGAACCCACGCCAGCCCCAGGACCCGAGGGGATCTCTCTCCATCTGCAGCTCCTCAGAGTTCACTTCCACCGGGGATCCCCTGGACCTGGTGGGGCTCCCATGCTGTTCAGGTGACAGAGGTCACAGAGACAGTGGTGACAGAAACAGTGGTGACAGAGGCTGTGGAGATGGGGCCCTGCAGGCAAAGAAGGCAGCCAGCACAGGTGAGGAAGGACAGCTGTAGAATGTGGGGAGTCCAAGTGGGGGCCAGATAAGGTGAGTGCATCCTTCTTGCAGGCACCCCTAGCAACTCTGGACACACTCTGCAGCTGGCTGGATGGCATGGAGGAACTGCAGGCCTCACAGGGACCCCTGGCTGCAGATGCCACTTTGGCTGCTTCCCAGCTGCGGGAACAAGAGGTACAGGAGCAGGAGACGGGGACAGGGGTGGGGGGCACTTTTGTCCTTTGAGCCTCAGGTCAAGCCACTTGCAAGTAATGGTGGTTATCATGTGCTTGAATACAATAGATCTGGTCTCCAAGGATGGGTTGCATGCATATACCTGTTAATGTTCCCATGGCTGGTGATCTCCCTTGATAAAAAATGGGGGAAGTGGAGGGCGGATGGGCAGGGACCCCAGAACCCTGCACAAGCCCTCTAACCTCACGTCTGGTAGCTGCTCCTGCGCCTGCTGAGGGAGCGTGCACCTCACATGGAGCCAAGATTGCAAGAGGCTGGGAGTCCAGCAGAGCTGTGCACACAGTGGCACCGCCTGGTACAACAAGCAGAAACCAGGTGAAGCTGCAGGTGGGGGCTCTGAGGGCTCTAGGGCAGGAAGGACAACACTGATGGCTCCTCCATCGCTGCCCCAGGTGGAGACTCCTGGAACAGCTTGTCCCGGCAGCACAGAGTTTTGAAACAGCCTGCAAGGCTCTGCTGGTGCAGCTGAGCCCGAGTGAACAACTCCTGGCTGAGCTGCAGCTGGGGCCCAAGTGCCCTGAGGAATCTTTGCAGGACTTCCAGGTATGGCCCGGGTTTGGGGTGAGAGTCTGTGGGCTGTCACAGGCTCAGTGTCTTGTGTGTATTCATAGGAGGTGTGTGAAGGGGTTGTGGCACGTGCCAAGGACCTGGAAAGGGTTTTGGAGACTGGCTGGAGGCTGGCAGAGCTCCTCACAAGTAAGTGGACCTCAGCCCAGTCAACCCAGCCAAGATGTGTTCATGGAGCCCACAGAAAAGCCCACCCTCAGCCCTGAGAAGACATCTGTACCGTTTCCCACGTCCCTGAGTTCAAGGCTTCAATGTCTTTGTCCTCGTTGATGGCTCCCAATGACCCTTCTAATGCCCTCATCCCTGTTACTGGTCCACCAGTTCCCCTTCAATGTCAGTGTTTCCTCTCTGGCCTCTTGCCTCTGGCTGCAGATGACCAAGCTCAGCTGGTATGGCTGCAGCTGGATCACTTCCAGGAGCGTGTGAGGTTGACTGAATTACAAGTCGCCCATGCCCAACAGAAGCTGCTGTCTGCTCAAAGAACAGTGTCCTCCAAGTCCTCACCACCAGCAGGCTTGGAGGCCCAGCTTGAACTTGAGGGGTCTGCCCCAGCACATCCAGGGCTCAAGGATCAGAAGCAGGTGTTTGTACCCCCTTAACTTTACACAGAAGAAAGACCTCCAACCTACCTCATGTCCTCTGAAGAGACTGCAGCCCACTTTACCAAGAAGCTGGAGTGCCTGGGAGTGTATACTCTCTGTCCCTGGCTGGCTAGGGCTGTTTAGAACAATGCTGGTTTCCTCCCACAGCTGAGTGTCCAGCTGACCCAGCTAGCAGAGCGTCTTGAACATATGGCACAGTGGGCAGAGACTTCTAGTCGTGCAGTAGCACCCACAGTGACCATCTGGAATCAGAGCCCCTCGTCAGGTACACCAGGGCCTTGGGGCTACCTGGGAGTCTTTGGGAAGTCACTGCCAGGCCTGGGGGCAGCATCAGGCCCGTGCTCAAGAAACCAAGATGGGGTGAGTGTGAAGGTCTTGCCAAGGCTGGACTCTCAGGTGGTTATGTTTCTCCTTAGCTGTGCTTCAGGCAGACACGAAGCCCCTGGAAGGGCACTGGTTAGAGACTCAAGAGCAAGACACTGGTCTGAAGGCCATATGGGAGCCAGCTGTGCAGATCTTGTGTGGCTTCATGGAGCAGGCAGCCATCGAGGAGCTGAGGCCTGAGGGTGACTGGAACTCAGCCTTGCAGGTGCCTTTAAAAAACTAGGGGGAGGAAGGTATCACCAAAGTCCCTTGGGAGGAGAGGTGACCACAGGGACACTGGATGACTAGGGTACTCTGAGGCTGAACTATTGTTCGCTGGTAGGAGGAACTGAGGCAGAGGACTCTGGGAGTAAAGAGAGTGTAGCATCAGGGAGGGGAAGTGGGGGCTGCAGAGCCAGCTGGAGAGATTTCTGGTGATGACTTCATGACTCAGCTCCAGCTTCCAGCAGGCCCGAATCTCCATTTAAGGCCACAGCTCTCCCAGTGAGGTCAAGGCCTGAGATCAGACCATCCCTGACTGCTAGGCAAGGACAGCTCCTCTGGCCAGTACTGTCAAGCCTCCAGGCTGTATGGGTAGGGGTAGGAGCTGACGTACCTACATGCCTTTTCTAGTAGAGAGCTCGTAGTTAAGAGCTATGAATGAGTTCCATTTATGCAACAGCTGGAAAGAAAATATGTCAGAAGCTAAATAGAAAGAAGTCAACTTACTTCTGATGTACAGTCTGGGATGGTCCAGCATTTATTGCAACAAAGAGGCAACAGTGGGCTGTGCCCACACTCAGCCCCCTTTTCTGTAACACAGGAATGGCTGGGATGCCCGAGACCCTTCTTGAGGTTTGCTGTTCACCCAGAAGTTCTAGGTCCCTTTGCTTGTTCTCAGATCTTTCTCATTCTTGGGACTCCGATGGTTCCCTGGGTGGCTGGAACCAGTTGTCACCAGTGGGGAAGCTGAAACTGTGGTTCTGAGAGCAGGTTTGAAATAGAAGGGAATGCTCCTGAGAGCTGTGAGGAGGCTCTGATTTGCCATGCACACAGTGTCTTCTTCCTGTGCCCTCTATGTATTTTTGTCCAAATCCCACTGCCCTTTTGTATGTATACATGTTTGTACATGTGTATGTGTATGTGTGTGCGCACCTGTGTGGATGCCTGAAGCCGGTGTCTGGTGTCTTTCACAAATACTCTCTACCTTATTGTTTTTGAAGATTTATTTTGTTTTTAATTATGCGTGTGTGTGTGTGTGTGTGTGTGTGTGTGTGTGTGTGTGTGTGTCTCTCTCTGTCTGTCTGTCTGTCTGTCTGTCTGTCTGTGTGTTGGTGTGTCTGTGGGTACCCACACATGTGTGGGAGACCAGAAGAAGGCACCAGATCCACTGGAGCTAGAGTTATAGGCAGTTGTAAGTTGTCTGACCTAAGTATTGGAACCTGAAGGAGGTCCTCAGCAAGAGCATCAAAGGGCTCTTAACTGCTGAGCTATCTCTCTGGCCCCCCACCTTATTTTATAAGTTGGGGTCTCTCTCCCTGAACCTGAAGTTCTTACTTGTCTAGACTGGCTGGCCATCGGGTTCCAGGAATCTTACCTCTGCCTCCCTGGTATTGGGATTCCCAGCTGATGTGCTACCATACTGATTTGTTTTGATGCTAGGAATCAAACTTAGGTCCTCATGCTTTGCAGCAGCAATACCAACTGAACCATCTTCCCAGTCCCCAAATCCCCCCCTTCTTAAGGGCAGCACTCACATTGTTCCCCACATTCTACCATGACCTCCCCCTGCAGTTAGTTTATTATAACTGCGACTGCCTCTTTCTAAGTAAAGGCTGGGACTTCAACATGGGAGTGGGTGGTAATGGTAGCGGTAGTGAATACAATTCACCCACAGGGAGGATCTTGCTGGCTTTCTTCATCTTGCCCTGAACGTGGGCACAGTGCTGGGTATGAAGAAGCCTAGGGGTAGAAGGACTGGGCCAGCATGTGCGGTCTTCTTGCTAATGTGGTGGGTGCTGTGAGGTGCATGGTGAATGGAGTAAGGAAGAGGGCTCAAGATGTGAGGTGCATGGAGGGGAAAAAAAAGAGTCCACCCTTCAGCTTTTCCCATCGGGAGAGCCAGCAGTCACCCAGGCTATTCTGATGGCAGGAGTTCCTGTGGGGAGAGCAAACCCTGGTGGTGTCATGGCTAAGGAGGAGAGGGGACACTGCCTGTAGGAGCACCCACCACTTGGGCCAGCTAATGGACCTGCTGGGCTGCCAGGCTGTCATGTCTAGCCCCTCCTGTGAGAGGTGAGCCTGCTTGCCAGCTGTCCCCACCCCACTTGCACTGGCCCTCTACCCTGCTCATATTTGTCCATCTCTTCTCCAGAATACACACCCTGGAAGGGATGCTGCTGCTTGTGGGCCATCTTGCAGACAAGCTGCTCTTGTGCTCCCAAAGGCTGGCCCAGGCTGAACCCTTGGGGACCAAGGTGGGACCAGTGGCCACAGACTCTGGCCTGCACAGTAACTGTGGACCAATCCAGGGTTAGCCCAATAGACATTGGCTCTAGTGCCTTGGACCCTCTGTCCTTGAACCACACCCTCTAGGAGACCATTGGATCTCTAGGAGGAGCTAGCTGGAAGGCCTGAAGTGCAGAGCAGGACTGCTGAGAGGCGCTAGAGGGTGGAGGCATTGGCTCAGGGGAGATGGTGGAGTCGTGGGCAATTTGGGGGTATGGGCTCCTCCGGTTCCCTAACATTGCTTCCTAATACATAGGTGGTACAAGCCCAGAGCTGGGTGCTAGAGGAGCCGCCTGGGGCCCTGAGCCTAAAGTGCTGGACTCAAGCCCCAAGGGAGGTACTGGCTCTGAGGAGTCTTGACCTGGGGACGCCTGAGGATCTTGGGAGTAGAGCTAAGGCTTGCCTCCTGGGGAAAATTTCAGAAGAACAGAGCTGGAGGCCTTGGTGGGCAGACGTCATCATGCAAAGCTGGAGTTATAGGAAGCCAGAGCATAGCAAGAGGAACCAGGAGAAAAGAGACCAGTGTTTACAGATGGAACAGGGCCACCAAGAGCAGGTAAGGGCAGACAGATACATACTCTGTGCACTCCTGGGCACACAAGAGGGACTTGGCTTTACCTCACAGCAAGGAGCCAATATACACTTGGGTCTTGTGGGAACACTACCTATATTGCTTTGGTCATAGAATAAAGTGGCCTAGGGTATATGCTTCATACCCCAAGCCACAGACTACACTGAAACATTCCCCAGTAGGACACTGTGGACAGCTTCCTGGCAGCCGAGGAGCAGGACAGGGATGGACAAGGCTGGCCTGGCTATACCTGGGGGAAATGTGGGCCTGACCACAAGCACCCTGCCGTGTTGGAACCAGAGCTCCCCAATGGCCAGAGACAGTCACACAGCATGGTCAGAACAAGGAACATAGAAGGGACAAGTTCACCAGTGGCCAGAGGCAGGCCCAAGGTCCAAGGAGCCTTGGTGAGCAGGTGTGAGTGTGGGCCTGTGACAGTGGGGAGGACAGAGCCTCAGGAACTGCCCCCAACCCCTACACAGAAGGCCAGACACCCCTGTGCCCTGCAGGCGACAAGAGGAACCCTGATGGTTCGTGTTGGAGGTGGTTGGGCAGCCCTAGATGAATTTCTGGTCAAAAATGACCCAGTCAGAGGTGAGAGCTGGGGTAAGAAAGGACATGCAAGTTGTCAGGGCCTGGGGGTGGGTGGGTAGGAGCAGTTTGGCTATGGTTTGGTTCAGCAACCTGGGATCTCTGAGCAGCAAAGGGCAGGACCAGCCAGAAGATCCATGAGAGGTTCCTATGCTGGACTCCTAGTGTGCCGGCCCCTGAAGTCATCACCCTGAGGCTCTGGACCTCCGTCCGAATGGGCTCTAGCCGGCCCCTGTCTCAGAAGGTGAGAGTGAGCCAGCATGGGCTTCAGAGCCAGGGGTTGGTCCTCCAGATGGACTGGGGACCTTCTTTGGGCCCAGGTGGAGGAACTGAATGGTGAGGTGAAGGCTGGCCACCCATTTCAGACAGGGCTGCAAATTGGCAAAGAAAACAGAGACCCCAGCTCCTACAAGGTCAAAACCCCGGAGCAGCCCACTGAGGAGAAACCATGAAGACTCCAAGATCCAGCAGACAGGGACAAGAAAAAGCGGCAGAACTTGCTCAGGGGCTGAGCAGGAGCTGGGGCCACATAGCCCCAGGGTGGGGTTGTGGCTTTCACTCTCAGCAATAAAGAGGAGTTAGGGGAACTGAAACTTTCTCTGGTGGGTCTTCATTTCCCTTGCAAACTCCATTCAAAAGCCACAGGGCTGAAGCAGGTTGCTCCCCGCCCCCACCCAGTGCCTGCCCTGCATTCTTTTTCAGTGACTTGTAGTAGGGAGGGAAAAAGGGAGGGACTTTCAACTCAGCAGCCTCTCCCAGCTTGAGTTGCTCAGAGGTAGCACTGCCCCATGCCATAGTCTGCGCTCTCCTGCTCACTCCACCTGTCTTGCCTGTGCCCAACCTGGCCTCAGCCCCGCCTACCGCCCTCAATGGGGAAGGGACTTGGGTCACCATAAGGAGGGGTCATGCAGATTTAAATGATTGTGGCGCGTGCTCTGGTGCAGAAGGAGCAGAGAGATCACGGACGCTGCACCAGCCCTTGTCACAGCAGGTGGGGAAATAAGGCCAGTTTGGGGAAACGAAACCGAAACACCTGTGGGAGCCAAAGGCCAGTGGCCCCATTTTCCACCCTGGGCAGTCTGAGCTCAGGATTGGAGGTGGGAAGCCCCTGAGCCCTTGGGATGGGTGGGGAAACTGAGGCCCTTGCCAGGCTGCTGTGCAGTCTGCGTGTGTGTGTGTGTGTGTGTGTGTGTGTGTGTGTGTGAGTGTGCGCGTGCGTGCGTGTGCGCGCGCGCGCGCGCGTGGATGTATGTGCAAAGTGTCTAGTGGCTCCAGCAGGATATGTGGTGTGCTGTTGGTGTATGTGCAAAGTGTCTAGTGGCTCCAGCAGGATATGTGGTGTGCTGTTTGGCCCTGAAGGTGGGATAGACCTTGTACCCCATTGCAAGAAGTGAGGTTAGTGGTGAGAAATCCTATGACAGAGGCAGCTGGGCTGACAACCAAGAGGCTCCTGGCAGCCCTGATTGGGTGAGGGAGGTGTTGCTGACCCAAGGAGGAGCTACCAGCTATCCAGGGTGAGCAGCCATAGAGATGGCCCCTTGGGTGGGATTAGGACCCTTGGAAAGAAGAGGAAGGGAGCAGGGCTGTGTCCCTACCCCCACTTGCTTATCATGCCAAGCTTGTACAGGGTCATTGACTTCGGTGTCTGGGGCAAGGTACAGCTGATGCCCTCCTTCGTGCTGCCCATGATAGAGAAGAGGCCAAGTTTTCCATCTTCATGTGCATTTGGCTGAGACTGCCTGGCCTTCTCATTCTGTTCTGATCTAGCTCAATGCAGCAGTAGCAGTGGCAGCAGTGAGCCCTTGTGCCCATCACTGTCACAGCCTGGGGTGAGGGCCCACCCTTCAGTGTGGTGACAGGTGGTGTCTGATGCCCTAGTGATGCTGACCCGCCCGGCTCAGAAATGAACCTCTTTCTTCTTGGCTGCTAGGGCAGCCTATTGTGGCATCTAGGGAGGCAGGAAGCCTATAGCTCTCTGCCAGGGGAGTGTGTGCTGCCTGCCTTCGCCAACCCCTTCATGGATTACTTAGACTATGATCCTTTGCCTTTATTGATACTTCCTGGGTCTCCTGCCCTCCTTGATCGAGCTCTGTATATCCCTCAAATTTACTTCTTTATTTCTTTATTTCTATTTTATGTACATTGGTGTTTTGCCATGGTGTCAGGTCCCCTGAACCTGGAGTTACAGACAATTGTGAGCCACCATGTGGGTGCTGGGAATTGAACCCAGGTCCTTTGGAAGAGCAGTCAGTGCTCTTAACCACTGAGTCATTTCTCCAGCCTCACCCCTCAAATTTTTGACCCGTATGTATGGTTGTCTTCCCAGGCAACTACTACAGTCACCAAGTGTCTACTCCTCCCCCCTCCTGGAAAGGGGCAGAGCCCAGGAGAGTCATACCAGGTCCAAGGTCACCCACAAGCCAACAGGGAGTGGCTGCCAACCACAGGCTGCACCTCACAGAACTCAGCTCTCTCAGCCCCACCCCTTCCCCAGAGCCCTGCTCCCTGGATCTTCGTCAGGGGCTTCCCACCCTGAATCTCTTCTTTGTTCGGGGAACCTGAGCAGCTTGCTTAAGCTTGTGTTGGCTTCTGATTCGGGCCTTGCCCTTCTGTACAAAGCATGCCTGTTAGGGCTAGCTGTTCATGACTAGGTCAGGAGCCACTCAAGACCATGCCCTTCTGGCAGTCTCTGTCCATACTGTAGTCCCAAGTCTCTGTGTCCCACATTTGCTGGGCAGTGAACTGCTTGTCCTGGATCCCCACCCTCATCCAGCCATATGTCAAGGGACAGCTACCGAGCCTCCACCCTAGGGCCTCTCCTGTGCTCTGCCCTGTCCTGGGCAACACCATGCATGATTTCCTCCAATTCAGTGCTTTGTAGGTGGGCAAGCAATGTTGGGAAGCAGAGTCTGGTATGAGTCATTAATGGTGTTCTTTGAACATGGAGAGGACAGGAGGCAGGTTGGTGGGAGAGCCTGGTCAGCCATGCTGTCTAACTTGTACCTGAAAATAGACAAGTCCAGGCAGCCTTGTGTCTACCACAGTCACACTGTGCCTCAGAACCAGTCTCTTGGATGCCAGTGGGTACCTTCTTAAGGAAGTATAGGAGAAAGTCTATGGGGTGGACTTGGTCCTGTTGTGGCTTTCAGGTCATGCTGGTTATTTGTTACCTCTTCCAGTTATCTAGAAAAACATACCGTTGACTCACTACAACTGTTGTCTGGGGTCATTGGGGTGCGACCAGATCCTCATCCCTGGGGGTCTTCTCTTTAGCCAGAGTAGCTGTATACACTCACTTACTGTCAGCTGCCACATTGGTATGAGAACCGCTACATCCGTGGTGTACTGGTTCCTCTCCCCTTGCCAGTCAGATCTGCCTTCACAAGTGTTTCTTTCTCTATGGATCCTGGAACTCACTTTCCCAGTGTGTAGGCCACTGCTCCTAGGCTTTGGTTCCTGGACCTGAGAAGCTCTTCTGGGACCCAGAAATCTATGTTTCAGAATAGAAATACTATGTTCTAGGGATGGAGCCTAGACTGCAGGGTGTAACCTGGGAGCAGAAGTCTAGGCTGTGCCTTTAGCAGTTACCCTACATCCTAGCTACCCCAGCTTTTGTTGGACAGTGAAAAGGGCCATGGCCAGTTTCACTGACCTTCTTGGCCTTCCCCCAGTGCATACCTCATCCTCCATGACCAAGGAACTCCTTAATTTGCTCTTCCTAAAGACACAAGACAAACATAAAGTAGCCCTGTAGTCACACCAAGCTGATACGGAAGCCCAGTAACTCTCAGGCTCTAGGAGCTGGTGGATGTTCCTAGGGTCTATGTCATTGTCAAAGCATGGTCAGTGAGCTGAGCAGAGCTCTCCTCCACTAGAGTTGGGCTGCCCTTGCTTCCTTCCTTGGACCTGTTTCACGTGACATCCATTCTTGCTCAGACGTTAGAAGCTGTATCTGTACCCCAGGCACTGGTTTTGGGCTCTTATTCACTCAAGGGCCTATCAATTGCCCTGCACCTGTTTTAGGAATACCTGATCTTCTAACTCTTTCTGGGACTCTATGTGGCTAGACCCATCTAACTGCCCCTCCTCAGGCTCCTCAGGTCATCATCAGCACCTGGACTCTGCTGTTGTTTGTGGGGGCATCACCACTTTCTCCTCCTCCTCCTCCTCCTCCTCCTCCTCCTCCTCCTCCTCCTCCTCCTCCTCCTCCTCCTCCTCCTCCTCCTCCTCCTCCTCCTCCTCCTCCTCCTCCTCCTCCTCCTCCTCCTCCTCCTTCTTCTTTTTTGTTTTTTTCGAGATAGGGTTTCTCTGTGTAGCTTTGGAGCCAATCCTGGCACTTGCTCTGGAGATAAGGCTGGCCTGGAACTCACAGAGATCTACCTGCCTCTGCCTCCTGAGTGCTGGGATTAAAGGTGTGCGCCACCAACGCCCAGCTCACCACTTCCTTCTTAATGCATAAGTCACAACTAGCCTGGGATCCCTGAAATAGTTTATGCCACAAGCAAACTGCCAATGCCTGGGCTGCTTTCTTTGGAGAGACACAGCCTTCCACAGCCTCAGCATCAGCCTGGTAAAGGGTTATGTGCCCAAGGGTCCTTACTGCTGTGTTCTGTCTGTCCCCTGTTCTGAGAAGCTCTTCCCTAGCCAACTTGATTCTTGGCTCATCCCCTGCCACCTTCTTGGGTTGGTTTCAGATCTCCTTCCTGGCCTCTAGTCTAAATTGTGGGGGACAAGAGGCATTGGTCCCTGCAACATCTAGGTTGACTGTGAGGAAGAACCCTTTCACGGGTACAAGGGCATCAAGGGGATCTATGGATTTGAGAGTTTGGGGTGTGTTAATCAAGACATTCATCCCAAGTTAGAGCCCTGACTACCCTGACTTAGGACTCAGACCTGGCAAAGGGTTCTTTCTGCTCCATATTGAGGTCTATTCAGGTTTGGGGCACCTAGTGATGTAGCTGCCTGGGCCTCCACCACAGCTGTCCAGCTGGTCACCCCTGTCTTTTGTGATCTTACCCCCACCATCTGTGTCCCACATACTCTTTGCCCATGCTCCACACTGCCCCCTAGAAGCACCTCCCACTCCTGAAGAGCTGAATGGTGGTCCTGATGCTGGAAGCCTGGGCTCTGGCTGCTTTGCTGCAGGTTGATGGTGGACTGCTGACCATGTCCAGGTGCCTGACTGGTTGTAGGCCTGAGGCCTGAGACTCTGAGCAGCAGATTGGCAGTAGGATACTGCAGAAGGCTTAGGACCAGCCTTCGGGAGGGGATAAAGAATGACATTTTACCAAAGCTATGGCTGTAATGCCATCTTAGTAATATCCCTAAGGACCATGACTTGATAGCCTGCAGAGTCTTCCTCAAATCATGTCAAGGGGGTGAACCTGTCACAAGCCCTCAAGTGGGACAATTCTCGAAGGTGTTAGTGGGACCTTCTGCCCATAACCCTCCCTAAGTTGGATAGTGTCTATTCTAATAAATCGTGTGACATCAAAGCCTGAATTATCATCCACAGGTCAGGCTATGCACCTGCCTTGACCATGCTGCCCAACCAGTCAACCTCACTCTCATTTCTCTGCCTTCACATTCCACATGTGGTGTAGGCATTGTTGAGGACCCTTGAAGGTAGCTGATGGTAGCATGGAGAACTTCTGTATACATTGTGCAGAAGCTTAGGCCACAGGATCAGGAAATCTGGCTGAGAAGTGACAGGATGAGCTTTGAGGTGCCATGGCAAAGCCATGAGGACTTAGATGGGTGTGAGGTGAAGCAGTGGAGAGCCAGCATGCAGCTGTAGCCATTGAAGCTGCTTTAAGAACAGAGTGTAAACCAGGTGTCGGTGGTGCACGCCCTTAATCCCAGCACTCGAGAGGCAGAGGCAGGTGGATCTCTGTGAGTTTAAGGCCAGCCTGGCCTACAAAGTGAGTTCCAGGACAGCTAGAGCTGCTACACAGAGAAACCCTGTCTGGCAAAACTAAAGAAAAGAAAAAGAACAGAGTGTAAAGGGGTGTTATGAGTAAGGGCACCAGATGATCTGTGTCAAGAAAGACACAGAACAGGCTATGACTTCAGGACTGGCTGGCTCAAGCCGCAGGTGTAGAGATCTGAGGACAGGCCAAGGATCTCTTGATTCATTGGACACATGAAGACAGAGAAAAATCCTGTTACAGAAGGAACCGGTCCTCGGGGACCAGATTCAAAATCTGTCTGTTAAGTTTCACAATACAAATGTATGTTGGGGAGGGGTAGGCAGGCCCCTCCCAGCCTGGATGAACTTCCGAGCAGAGAGAATGTTCTGGCAATGCTGAGGCTGTGAACTAAGAGAGACACAATATGCAGGCCCAGTTTACAGGGTGGTTGTCTTCTCCCTGAGGAAGTCTGCCATCTTCTAGAGATGCCAGGTGCACTGGATTGGAGCCAGCAGGCTCCAGGATGATCTCATCTTAGTTATATTCACAGAGATCCTGCTTCCAAATAAGGTTACAGTCATGTCCTGCAGGTTAGGACTTTGAGTTGCCTTTCTGGGCAATCAATTCAGCCCAGCTCAAAAGCCCCAAGCCTTGGCAGAAGCTTAGAGGCCTGAAACCAAGTGACCCAGGACCCATGCAGGCATGAAGAACCCTCACCCCCATCTCTGAGTCTAAGGCAGGGCTGGGGGAAAGGAGTGCCCAGGAAAGCCCCAAGCTCCACTAACTAGAACCCTGGAGGCTTAGAGTAGAGGCCAGATGACCCATAGGGAGTCCTGAGAATAGTAGCTTCTTGCTGGCCTCAGGTCCCTGTATGTTGTAAGTATGCTATGCCGTAAATGTGGACAAACATGTTTGTGTCTTTCTACAATGTCAGAATTTATTAAATGACAACAAATTCTCAAGGTCCAGCAGTTTAAAAATGCTAAGAATTTGCCATATAATCCCACTGACTCCAGCAATCTGGCCAAGGTAGAGGCAATCAAGATATTCCAATCTTAATTACTAAAGCAACTTTTATCACCTATCTCACAGCACACAGTCAATCCTCTTATATATTTTATTTATATGTGTTATTTATTCATTCATGTAGAGAATGAATACAAATTAAAGAGGCTGCAGCTGGATCCAGAGAGAGTCCTCAGAGTTCTGAGAGTCCTATTGATAAGATGCCAGATGCAACCAGGAGGGACAGTGGCAGTCAGGGCTTGAGAACAGAGCAGTAGAGTCTGCAAGGGGAGCAGCCAAAGCAGGCTCCAAAATCAGGAAATGGTGGGTTCAGGTCCAAGGTCCAGAGGGACAGACAGATGGTTGGGCATGGAGTCAAGTAGAGTGTGTCAACAGCAGAGGACAGAGTCAAGCTAAAGCTGCAACAACAGTCGGGGACTCACTGCTTGGCAGTCCTTGATGCACGCACCGGGAATCAGGTGATTGGTTGATGAAAGGCCATGCCATCACACAGTGTTAAGTGTCCATGATTTACAGGACCCACATGAGGGAATTGTACCCTTTTCTCAGACTGGTGTGTCTGATACATTCTTGGGCCTGGTTTCCCTGGTATGGTTTTAATACACCCGTGTGTACCTGCAGGTTTAAAGGTGACTTTAAAGGTGCCATCCTTTCTAATCTCAGGAATAAGTCCTCTCCATCTGTGCAGAAGCTGGTACCTGACAGATGGTGCTGTTTGTGGATCTGCCTGGGGCCTGCAATCTGCTTCCCTCAAAATGGCAAAAGCCACATTGTAAAATGGAGTCTCCTAGGGCAAGGCATGGCCCAATAAAACACTGTTTTATACAATATGGTGTAACTTAAAGTAGGGCATAGTCTGATCTCAAGACGGTGACTGTACTGTCACTTGCACTGTCTGAGTTCTTTGGGCAGCCTGTCTTAATCCCTTTTGAAGGGACTTGCAGGTCGGAGCATTCTCCCCTAACAATAAGATTTGTTCAAGCCCTTAGAGGGCCCTTGCCTACCACGAACCTCTGTGGCTACTCAGTGGTCCTCCTATGGATGTGGATTCAGGACTCTCAGCTTAGATGGGCCTGTGTCTGACCCCCATGATCATATCTTTCCCCCTGCCCAGCCACTCAGGGTCCCTAACTGAGTCTTTCTGTCCCCTACAGGTCACACGTGAATCTTGAGCAAATTCTGTGATACCTGTTGTCTGTGATGAACGGCCAACCCCCTCCTGGTGATGTTGTGGTTGCCAATGGCACTGCGCAGTCCATTGTCCCTAAAATCATGAAGCACCAGTTGGGAGCCAGCATCTGTTCCAGGCCCCATGCAGAGGCTGCCCCACCTACCACAGCCAGAAGTATTGCTGGGGTGTATGTGGAGGCCTCAGGGCAGACCCAGAGCTTCTATGCTGCCATGAAGCAGGGTCTCCTGCCTACTGGACTCGGGCTGGCTTTGCTTGAGTCCCAGGCAGCCACTGGGGGCCTTGTCGACCTTGCCCAAGGCCAGGTGCTTCCTGTGTCTGAAGCCCTGAGGCGGGGTCTGGTGGGACTGGAACTAAAGGAGAAATTGTTGGCTGCTGAGCGTGCAGTCACTGGCTATCCTGACCCCTATGGGGATGGAAAGCTGGCCCTCTTCCAGGCCATCAGGAAGGAAGTTGTGGATAGCACCCTGGGGATGAGATGGCTGGAGGCCCAATTAGCTACTGGAGGCCTGGTGGACCCAACCCAAGGTGTGCGAGTGGCCCCAGAGGTAGCTTGTCAGCAGGGCCTTTTAGACAAGGAGACATGGCTCAGCCTGGTGGAGTCAGAGCCTGGCATGGGTGCCCCAGGCTTTTTTGACCCCAACACACTGGAACAGCTGTCATACTGCATGCTGTTGGCTAGGTGTGTGCAAGACCCCAGCTCAGGCCTGCCTCTATTGCCCTTGCAGACCACGTTCCATACCCTGGGTGGAGCAGCCAGTGCATCAATGCTGCTGGAGGCAGGAGTACTGGATGAGGAGACAGTTAGAGGCCTGCAGGAGGGCACACTGGTGGTGTCAGATGTGGCCACGCGCCCCGAGGTGCAACGCTATTTGGAGGGCACTGGAGGGTTAGCAGGGGTTGTCCTGTTGCCTGGAGGCCACAAGAAGAGCTTTTTCCAGGCTTCAGTTGAACACTTGCTCTCCAAGGGCATTGCACTACAACTCTTAGAGGCTCAAGCTGCCACCCGCACCCTTGTGCAGCCAGCCACAGGCCAGCGACTGTGGGTGGAGGAGGCAGTCAGGGAAGGTCTGGTTGGCCCAGAACTCTATGAGCAGCTCCTGGTTGCAGAGCAGGCAGTGACTGGGTATTATGACCCCTTCAGCAGCTCCCGCATCCCCCTTTTCCAGGCAATGAAGAAGGAGCTTGTGGACCAGCCACTGGCTCTGCGCCTCCTAGATGCTCAGCTGGCCACAGGTGGGCTTATATGCCCAGCCCGCAGATTCCGGCTGCCCCTGGAGGCTGCTCTGCGCTTTGGCTGCCTGGATGAAGAGACACAACAACATCTCTCTCAGGCAATGAGCTTTTCAGATCCTACCACACACAATAGCCTTCACTATGAACAGCTGCTGGCCCACTCTGTCACTGACCCCGAGACAGGGCTTGCTTTCCTGCCTCTCCCTGGAGGACCCCATGCAAACGAGTCCCAGGGATCTACATTTATTGACCATTGTACTCGGCAGGCCTTGAGCAAGGCCACAACCTCCATCTCTGTAGGGAGGTTCCGGGGCCGGCCTGTATCCCTCTGGGAACTGCTCTTTTCTGAGGCAGTACCTGTTAAACAGAGGGTAATCCTTACCCAGCAGCATCAGAAAGGGGCCCTGTCAGTGGAGGAGCTGGCAGCTGAGTTGAAGGCCATTGTTGAGCAGGCTGCAGCCGCTGCCAAAGTCACCTTTGCTGGGTTGAGGGACACTGTGACACCAGGAGAACTGCTGAAGGCTGAGATAATCAACCAGGACCTGTTTGAGCAGCTGGAACGTGGACAGACCTCAGCCCAGGATGTGGGCAGCCTGGATTCAGTGCAGAGGTACCTACAGGGTACAGGTTGCATTGCGGGTCTGCTGCTGCCTGACTCCCAGGAACGCCTCAGTATCTATGAGGCCCGTACCAAGGGGCTCCTCAGGCCTGGTACTGCCCTGATCTTGCTCGAGGCCCAGGCTGCCACAGGCTTTATCATTGACCCAAAAGAGAATAAGAGATACTCTGTGGAGGAGGCACTGAGGGCCGGTGTCATTGGGCCTGATGTCTATTCAAAGCTGCTGTCTGCAGAACGCGCAGTCACAGGCTACACAGACCCCTACTCTGGGGAGCAGATCTCACTCTTCCAAGCCATGCAGAGGGACCTTATTGTCAGAGACCATGGCATCCGCCTGTTGGAGGCTCAGATTGCCACAGGTGGTGTCATTGACCCTGTGCACAGCCACCGTGTGCCAGTGGACGTGGCCTACCAGCGAGGCTACTTTGACCAGATGTTGAACTCTATCCTGTTGGACCCATCTGATGACACCAAGGGCTTCTTTGACCCCAACACACATGAAAATCTCACCTACCTGCAGCTTCTGGAGCGCTGTATACATGACTCTGAGACAGGCCTGCACCTCCTGCCACTTAGTGGTACACGACCCCAGCTGGTAGATTGCTCCACTAGGCAGGCCTTTCAGAATCTACTGCTATCCGTAAGGTATGGACGGTTCCAGGGGCAGAGAGTTTCTGCATGGGAGCTGATTAACTCAGAATACTTCAGAGAGGACTGGAGGAAGCAGCTACTGCAGCGTTATCGGCAGCGCAAGGTCACACTGGAGCAGGTCACTCAGCTGCTGGAGGAAGAGATGAAGAAGTGGGCAGACGTCACACTGCCTGCACTACAGGGCCAGGTCACTGTCTACCAGCTCTTAGAGGCACGCATCATCAACCAGGAGCTCCTGGACCAGGTGCTGACAGGGGTGGTCAGCCCGGATTCCCTCCTTCACATGGATGATATTCACAGGTACCTTCAGGGCTCCGGCACTGTGGGTGGTGTGATGTTACAGCCCTCCAATCAGCGAATCAGTCTCTACCAGGCCATGAAGCAGAAGCTACTGTCCCCAGGTGTAGCCCTGGCCTTGCTGGAGGCCCAGGCAGCCACTGGAGCCATCACAGACCCCTGCAGTATGGAGACCCTGTCAGTAGATGAGGCTGTGTGCAGGGGAGTAGTGGGAGCAGAAGTATATGGCAAGCTAAAACGAGCAGAGCATTCTATCACTGGCTACAGAGACCCCTTTTCTGGAAAAAAGGTGTCCTTGTTCAGGGCCATGAAGAAGGGCCTTGTCCCTATGGAGCAGGGAACCCGCCTGTTGGAAGCCCAGGTGTCCACAGGAGGGGTCATTGATCCCACAACCCACCTCCACCTCCCCATGCCTGTGGCAGTCCAGCATGGCTGCATTGATCATGAGATGGAGGTGGCCCTGTCCAGCTCTCCTAAGACCTTTCCCACACCTGATGGCCGGGGACACACCAGCTATGTCCAGCTTCTGGAGCAATGTCTCCAGGACAAAGCTTCTGGGCTTCACCTCCTGCCCCTGACAGAAGATGCTCCTGCTATCCTCACTGATAGCCAGGTCCGGGAAACCCTGCAAGCATCAGCAGGCACTGAGGATGGTTTGTCCCTCTGGGATTTGCTCACCTCTTGCCACTTTACTGAGGAGCAGCGCAGGGGCTTCCTTGAGGATGTGAGAGTTGGGAAGATTTCTGTGCCACAGCTCCAGGACACTGTGTGTAGCTGGGTACATGCAGCTAAGCTCCTGGCCAGGGCACACATCACTGTGCCAGGCCCACGGGGTGAGGTCCCTGCTGTTTGGCTACAAGATGCTGGTATTATCACCCAAGAAACACTGGAAGCACTGGCACAGGGCATACAGTCACCTGCTGAGGTAGCTAAACAGCCTGCTGTGAAGGCCTGCCTCTGGGGCACAGGCTGTGTGGCTGGTGTGCTTCTGCAGCCCTCAGGGACCAAGCTGAGCATTGCCCAGGCTATAAGGGATGGCCTCCTACCCACAGGCCTGGGCCAGCAGCTGCTAGAAGCCCAGGTGGCATCTGGCTTCCTTGTCAACCCGCTAACCAACCAGAGATTGTCAGTGGAGGGTGCAGTGAAGGCCGGCCTGGTGGGCAGGGAGCTAAGTGAACAGCTTCGGCAGGCAGAGAAGGCGGTCACAGGATACTCAGACCCGTATTCAGGAGGCTCCCTTTCTCTATGGCAGGCCATGGAGAAAGGGCTTGTACCCAAGAGTGAGGCCTTTCCTCTCCTCCAGGTCCAGCTGGCCACGGGTGGTGTTGTGGACCCTGTCCATGGAGTGCACCTCCCCCAGGCAGTGGCCTGCAGGCTTGGCCTCCTGGACGAGCAGACAAGCCAGGTGCTGACTGCCACTGAGAAGGAAAGCAAGCTCTTCTTTGACCCAAACTCCCGTGAAAAGATGACATACCAGCAGCTCAAGGAACTCTGTGTGCTGGATGCTGCCACTGGCCTGTGGCTGGGGGCCCCGCCCCCCAACACCGGGGGTGGGGGGGGGGG